TCCAACTCAAGCGGTAGCGGGAAAATATCTTTGTTCATATATGGAAATTTGTGGAGAATATATGAAGGAATCGGAAGCCTTAACATCCATTGAAGGGGGCCTTACACCGATCCTCGGAGAATATTGGTGGGAGTAGGGCACAGGCCTACGGGCCCGGAGGCTTTGTGACGTGAGAAGAACGCGGAACGTACGTGGAGAATGCAAAATGTGAGTGAAACGTGAAAGATTTAGTGAGGTGAAGATGTGAGACGTGAGGAATGCAGAATATGAGTGAAACGTGGAAGATGTTGTGAGGTGAAGATGTGAGACGTGAGGAATGCAGAATATGAGTGAAACGTGGAAGATGTTGTGAAATGAAGATGCGGGATGTGAGGAATGCAGAATATGAGTGAAACGTGAAAGATGTTGTGAAGTGAAGGTGCGAGTCGTGAGGAAAACGTGAAAAATTTCGTGAAGTGAAGACGTGGAATGTGAAGAAAATGCGGAAAATTTAGTGAGGTGTGGGCGTGGAACGTGAGGGAAACGTGAAAAAAATTAGTGAAGTGAAAATGTGGAATGTGAAGAAAATGCGGAAAATTTAGTTCACTTTTTTTTATTTTTATTTTTTATTATTATTTTAGATTTTATTATCACAATATACTTTAGTTCTGGATTTAACTTATATAATTAAATTTTCTTCATGTTGTTCTTTGCTCGTTATAAGTTAGAACCACCGTGTGGTCATGCGGCTTTTCACCGTACGCACAGAAAGGCAACTCAACAAATATGTCGAAATTCAAAACAAACTTCATTGAATCTTCTTCCAAATCATGTGATACAACTGATCATATGCTGGAACTGCCCAAAACAGCACGCTGAGTACATCCGTGCAAGAACTGTAGTACCACATATCATATCTCTTTCGTTCTGATGTTGTGCAAAAAGGTAACAAGCATCTGTCCATCTTTTGATGCTAGTTCGTGATCAAGCTAACCTTCTAAGCCACGCTTCGGGGTAAGAGTCCTTCCGCGTATACTTAGAGGTATAACCATCTCACAACTAGTACGGGCGTAATTCCTCCAACTCTAAATCTGGCTGAAACCCGTGTGGCACTTTGTTATCGTCCATCCTTCTTAGAGTAACAGAAATTCTGCGATGCGGCACTCCTGGAATGCAATGCTTCGCCAAGTCTGCTCCATTCCCTTTCAAAATCAGAACTGAACCTACTGGCAGCGGAATCTCGACCGATCCTCTGAACTCTCCAGGTCCCAGAATGTCAATTTCTCTTCCAAACAGAATGTTGCTCGTGCTCATGAAGGACACCGTACAGAAGGGTCTGACGAAGTCGTGGTGATCTATGTGGGGCGGAATGCAGTCTCCCTCCTCATAGATGTTAATAATACAGCTATTCGGGATACAATCTGCAGGCAGGATGCTCCATCTTACCATTCTTTTGATCATCCTTTTTATCTCGAAAGGCAGAGGG